TAGATAGATAGATAGATAGATAGATAGATAGATAGATAGATAGATAGGCAGGCCATCTGGTGCTTGCTAGAACTGTGAGAAGCTTGAAGTGTAGTTTCTGCCCTGCAGTACCTCAAACTGTCGTGAGGATGTAGCACTGTTCAGAGTGCACAATGTGCAACTTAAAATAGCATGTAGTTCAAAGAAAACCATCCTACAGGTGAGCACGAAGGTTTCCTAGAGAGGGACCAGGGCTCTGCTCTGGCCACCTCTACTCCAAGGATCGTTTACTCACATCCAAAACCAGATAAAATTGCCTCCAGTTCTTGCCTGTTCTAAAACCGCAGCATTTTTTGCTCTCAGCAGGAGGGTTGTGATAGGGATGACACATGGCTGTCTCCAGCTGCATTTACTGTGTAAAAGAAGAAGGCACCAAGCACTTAGGACAGATACCACTGTGTCTAACTTGACGGCCATTGCAGGAGGAGCAGGGAGTCAGGACTCAAGCACACGCTCCCCTCTCTTCAATTACCACTGCTCACGAGTGCACGTGAAGAATTTCTTCTGGAAAACCTTATTTAGTTTTAAGGCCACTTCTCAGCTCTGCCCTTGACAAAAGCAGTCTGGACCTGCTCAGGTCCAGGAGGTAGCTAAGTCTAGATCAGCATAGGCCAAATCAAGGTCTGCTCCAGGATTGTTTTGATTGCAGAGCATTTGCGTTGACAACAGCTCCCCACCCCCAGTCCCACCCACTTCCAATCCCCCCACCAAAACCAAACCAAACCAAAACAAAAACAGAACAGGTGGCAAACATAAAGCCTAGGCCGAACTCAACAGAGCAAAGAGGGCACCCGTACTTATTTTCTTCACAGCACGAAGAAAGCAAATCCAGCAGAGTACACGCCCACCCCAGCAGCTTCCAGAGTCCCTAGTCTCCGAATCCTGAGTTGCTCATGGGAAGGACTGATCTCTGTCATCTAGGCACAGAGGGACAGGAGCACCAAAACGAGAGGCAAACACCTGGCTTCTATTTCTGACTGGATGCAGACATTGTGGCAGCTTGTCCAGAAGTAACTATCCTGTGGGTTCTCTGTGGCTGGGAAAAGCCAGCCTTGTGGTTTTCTTCAGCCGTGGGAATGGAGAAACCCTTTTTCTTCCTTTTATCGTCTTTCTGAAATTGTCGTCATCAGCATCTCTCCTTTGGATTTAGGCCAAGTGCCTTGGGACAGTATGGAACTTGGAAAGGAAGACTACGGCTTTGACTTTCAGAACTCAAACTCTTTCCTCTAGGTCCAAGGTGGGGGGTCGCTGAAAGCTCTAAAGCAGCTGAGTTCGTCCAGCCTGTGAACGGCTTGGCTTTGGAAGGTGGACACTGCTTTATCAGAGTGTTTCCTTTGAGAACAAACATCCTTTTCACTTATTAGGGGGCAGGCTAATTTAATTCTGTAAAGGGCTTCAGATATGTGGATAATTCATATTTAGTGTACCAATTATCAGTCACTTGAGATATGTGCACGCTTAGAGGAAACTCCTGCACGTGTGAAAATTCTAGAGCATAGGCTCCTTCCTTCCAGAAAGGCTGAAATGGAAACTTCTGTTGGACATCTACAAGTATGGAAGGCAACGGTCAAAACCAGTCCCCAGCCAGCTCTACCGGCATAAATAAGCTGATGAGATGTGAAATACAGTCTGTGAGGCATCAAGTATCTGGCAAGAAAATCTATCTAGATAAGCCTCAGGGAGAATGCCTAGCACAGACCAGCTGGCACATAGGAGCTCCTTCAGGGTTCATCCCTAAAGCTGCGGAAGGAGCGACTGGGTTTGGAGACCAGCTTAGTGGAGAAACAGGACCACTGAAAGAAATCTTGGGTCCAACTTACTGAAAAATCAGTTTGATTTTCCCCACCTATAAATTGAAAGTAATAAAATACTTGTCTGCACATACATCTCACGAGGCTGTTGTATAGAATAAA